AGATAGATAGATAGATAGATAGATAGATAGATAGATAGATAGATAGATAGATAGATAAGATAGACAGACATAAAAATAATTTGTCTAAGAATTGTGAATAAAGGAGAAAGTTGAAAAGGTGTGACAACATATGTTTTTATTATCATGTCTAAAGAAAAGTTCTTTCTTTCTTTTTCTTTTTCTTTTTTTTTTTGAAGCACTACATGACTTAAAGTTTGATTTCTTTAAGTGTATGAAAAAAATATACCAGAAACAAAAGCATACCCTATGCCCAAAAGCATAATGTTTGCATATAAAATATGGCACTGACTCATAGTTATATGGGTTGCATTTAGTCATCTGAGAAAGCCAATTATGAAGAGAAACTGTGGAATCCTAGACTTAATTGCTACAAAACTATCTATCAAATAGGGATCCATAAATGGAGATCGAATCCAAAGATCTTCTAGGTCTGTGTGATCCAGCTGGAATACAAACACACCTTTAATCCAGGAGATAGAGGCAAGCAGATCTGAATTCAAGGCCAGCCTAGTATAGAGCAGGTAAAAAAAAAGCCTTTAATACCAAACAATGAAGGTAAAGCTAGTCATTCCAGGAAGCACCCATGTTTGAAAGTGATGTCGAATTGCGTGGCAGAAACAGCAATGCATCAGAAAGACCTGACAAAATAGGATGCATGCCCAACTATCAGGACAAGAGAGAGGAAATGGAGCTACTGAAGGGACAATGAGAGAAAGAGAGATAAGGTAGTTTTTCACTGGAACAGTAATAAAGAGACAGGTTGCAGAGCTAGAACTCAGATGAAGACTCTCCTGAGACTCAATATCAGAGACTCACTTCTCTGATGTTGGTAAAGGCTTAAAATACCACCTGCCGGTACTCCTATAAAATCCCATACTCTTGGCTTACTATGTTTACTGAGTATGATTATTTATATATTTAAAAGTGGTATTTTTCCTAACTATTATCCATTATGTATTCTACTGAGTAGTGTTTTATTCCTTTATTCTTTCTTCTTTTAAAAACAGAATCTCACATAGCCCCAAATGGCCTTGAACTGGTAACTAGCCAAAAATGATCTTGAACTCCTGATTTTTCTGCCTTCATCTTCCAAGTGTTGGGATTATAGGTCTGTTTCTTTTCAACAGAGATACTCAGTCTTGGTTTAAAAAAAGGCGGGGGGAGAATGAGAGAAAAACAAAACAAAGTCACGTCTTACTTAGATTGTGCGAGGCAGCCTGGTGCAATCACGTTCTGGTTTTCCTCCACAGGCTGGACAGCAGTGAGCTCTGCCATGTTGACCATCACATCATTGGTGTGGCCTGGAAGCTGTGGGAGCACTGAAATGATCTTCTCTACTAAGTTGTCTCCATGATGTCCAACCGCTCCTGTTTAACCACACAAGCAAATGTAAACTCAAAGAGGACAGGAAAACGTTAGCTCGATGCATGTTTACGAATGTTCCTTCTGCCAAAAGTTAACAGATGCTCAATAATACCAACTTAGAATTTTCCTCTTTGTCAAATAAATCATGTTCTCAATTATCTAGGAAATGTATGCCTCATGGATTGAATGTAATGCTCGTGAAGACAGGCTTCTCACCTACTCCAGAAACTACTGTCTCCAGCCCCTAATCCAGCGAGCAGACACAGCAGCACCAATAACTCCTGAGTATAATATCAGCATGTAGTCGACTGATTAGCTACTGTCACAGGTGTCGCTATCCTGAAATTCTGAAGCTGAAAATCTATTTTTATTTTGATGATGAATGCACAATGACCAGGAAAAGCTTAGGGGACAGGTAAGAGTAAAAAATTTCCTGCCACTTCAACTCTGTGATGACAAGAGCGAACTCATCCTAGTTCACCTGGTACCCACCAGCTCCAGCATAGAAAGTCATCCAGTAGGCTCTCACTAAATATTGTTGAAGGAGGGGAAGAGTAAGTGGACACATGGCATCAGCCTACATTCGCCAACTGAATGCTATCTGTAGACCATGCATTGCTCCAAGATCTGTAGTTATACACACCAGTTCCAGGGATAATGGATGAGCGATGGGCTGCAGACAGAGATTTTCAGTACCGCATAAAACTGAGTGGTGGCAGCCCAGGCCTGTAATCCTTGTACTTGTTAGGTGGAGGCAGGGCAATGCTTGGTCTATGAAATTAACTTGTATCTCTAAAATCTATCACTGCTTGGATGGCATCACTCCAACCCTGGGCTACAGGTCTGCTTCACTTCCCGTCTACTCACATGTTGCTTCCCAATGCCTCTCTGTCTCTCTGAGTTTTGCCATGTCATATTAATGGTACAGAAGAACTACTTAGAAAGGCCAAATCCGGAATCCAAACAATCATTATCATCATTATCATCGTCATCATCAGCATCCTTACTGCAACTACTACATACGCAGGGCTCCTGGTGGACCGTATACCAAATTCCAAGCCATGAATTTATAATGTATCATTAATTGTAGCAACAAATCTTTAAGTGTGAATCATTATTTTCAGTCACACCGTAAAGATTCCACTTAAATAGCCCACTCGAAATCCAGTAAACAATTTATTTATTAATTACACTGTAATGGCTATTCTGAAATTAACTAAAATCCAAAAATAGAGGGTACACCTGTGAGAGATTTTTGCTCAGTATGAAATAAGTAGATCCATTTCTAATCCAGATCTTTGAAATAGGTAGACACATGCCTTTAATCCAGATCTTGAGGTGGGAAGACACACCTCTAATCTGGTCACACCTTCTGCTGGAAGCCTGTATAAGTACATGGAAGAAGAAAGATTTTGCTCTTTGCCTGCTTGCCCTTATCTTGCTAGTAAATCCATTTCTTCAGTGGCATTAGAGCCTATGTCAGGATTCTAGCATATACTAAAGACCAGCTTAGATAAGCAGGCTTGTGGACTGAGCAACTTCTGGATTTTTGGACTTTCCATTCATAGCCAGCCATTGTTGGTTAGCTGGACCTCAGTCTGTAAGCCATTCTAATAAATCCCCTTTCTATACATAGAGAGATATTCACTCTATACATTCTGTTGCTGCAGAGAACCCTGACTAATACACAAAGTAATATTTCAAGCCAGGTGATTGGGTTAAGGAAAAAGAAACCCTCAGGCCCCACAGGAGTGAACTGCAGCAGAGCTGATGTGTGTCAGGTAATTTTGATGTTAAAGAAGAGCATTCTTGTGGTGCCAGAAGATTACACTTTGTTAGCAGAATAACCAGGTCCTACTCACGCTGTTTGTGGTTTGTGGATGTCTTGGCACTCAGACTTGGAGCTGTTTGTTGAATACCAAATGCATGTAGGAACCAGAAGAAACCCACTATTCAGAGCACAGTCAGAAGAGTAAGTGAATTTTATCTTTACACTAAGTTTTACACTAGGTAGAGATAGTAGGACAATGTGTCACAAATATCTTCCTTTCCCTCCTCGCTAAATTAAAACTTTTTGTTGTTGGTTGGTTGGTTTTCAAGACAGGGTTTCTCTGTGTAACTTTGGCTGTCCTGGACTCACTTTGCCAAGCAGGCTGGACTCAAGCTCACAGTGATCTGCCTGCCTCTGCCTCCCTCAGGGCTGGGATTAAAGGTGTGCACCACCACACCTGACTTAAATAATAACTTCTATACATCTCCGCTTATCACCAGAATAACTTTTCTTTGATCCTGATGCATAAATTCTGATCTCTTCCCCCAAATTTTTCTTATTCATTCTGTCATCCATAGTTATTTGGCACAAACCCATGTCTGTATGTCTGTGAGTATGGCATCTGGCTGCTGCTTGTTGCTCCATCCTATCCAAAACAGCAGCATCTTTGAAAAATTATGATTCACTAAAGTCCCTGCAAATTGAAATTGATGGTATGCCTTTTAAAACTCTCAAAATAAAATAAGTTACATCTGAAATGGCTGTTATTTTCATACAGCCAAAGTAGCATTTGTTTTATTAAAATATTATATACCAACAACCCAAATGCTTACAGTAGAGAAATGACTTTTTGTGTGTATATATGTGTACACTTATACATATATTCATATGATTGTGTATGTGTGAGAGAGTGTGTGTGATCTTATTATGTAGCCCAGGCTAGCCTGGGGCTAACAATTCTCTTGTCTCAGCCTCCCAAGTACTGGGATTGTATGGACGTGGCAATGTCCTTACACACAGAAATAATTTTTTATTTGTTTTTTCAACCTGTGATATCTATATTAAAGCAGTTCTCTAAATCATATTTTAATTATCTTCTAGAACTTCAAAACTTTCTATGGTGAATACATATCCTTTCAATAATAACTAAAAATACAATTTATTCTCCCTCATCTTCCCATGCTTGCTTACTCTTCCTTTCTCCTTCATCCCTCTCCCTCTCTCTTTCTCTCTTGCATGTGCATGTAACTGCAAGTACTGCATATATTTTTTACCCTCAAAGTTATCAACCGTCTCGTAAGGGAAAGAAACTCTCTATCTTAGTCATCACTGTCTCACTAGGACCTGCAACAATGCAGAACACAGTGGACATCAAATAAATGTTTACTGAAAAACTGGAAGGTGATACCATTTTCAAGAAGGTAACAGCAAAATGATGAGAAAACTGTCTAGATTATAAACTTGATATTAACTATACTTGACCAAGCATGATGACACACATAAACAATCCCAGACCTTGGAGATGGAGGCAAGAAGATCAGAGTTCAAGGTCATTTTCAGTTACATAACAACTTCAAGTCCATATGAGACCTAGTAAAACAGATCACACACATTTTTCTATTATTTTTGAAACTTCCAATTTCTCATATAAGCACATAAATCATCTAATGGTAAATTATCAAGAATAGCCTCCAAAATATTACTAGTTTATCATATAAATTATATGTAAATTAACATCTAAATCATATACTAGAAGTATATTTTCTTTTGCTTCCTATGCAAAATACCTGTAAAGTAATTTAAATTGAAATCCAAATCACTACATTCATTCCAATAATTTTCAAATCACTTCTTGATCTTTAGAAGGTTCCAGCATAATCTTTTGTTGGCTGCAGTTCTTACTAGTTATACCCCAATCTAAGCCACAACTTAATTTAGAAAACCTCAACAAATTCTGGTAACCATTACTTCATTACATCAACAGGTCAGACCTCCCCAGATCCCCAAGCTTGTTGCATACAAAAGGACAAATCAGTAAAATGTCTGAGCCTGTAAGTATGATCCTGGATGCCAGGGTCTAGGCCAAATACCAAACAGACCCATGCCAAAAATGACTTCCATAACATTAATATATCACACCCACTCCATCTCAGTACTCTCAACACCTCTGGAAGCTATACCATCTACACCAAACAGCCACAGGCAGCCATTCATTTCCCAGTATTAGGTAACTTACTATGGTCTGAACAAGTAGTAACTTTTATTCAGTAGTGCAGATTTTAACATTCAAACAATATAACTTACAGTACAAGTTTTTTTTTTAAGATTTGTTTATTTATACGTATACAATGTTATGCCTGCATGTACACCTGCAGATCAGAAAAGGGCACCAGATCTCATCATACAGGGTTATGAGCCACCATGCGGTTGCTGGGAATTGAACTCAGGACCTCTAGAAGAGCAGGCAATGCTCTTAACCTCTATATTCAAACATCTTTGTAGCAAATGAAACCTGAAGGTGACCATATGCAAGGTTATTTGGGTGGTTACTCAAAAGAAAGCCAACAAAAATACTTGCATTTAGAAGCTACTGGGGTCCAGGAACAAACCAATCTAAATTACAATCTACCCTACAAAGTCTAATTGACCTTTTCTAAAAGAAAGCATGACATGATTTTAAAATGAAAAAGAGGCAGCAAGGTGCTTGGTGGGAAATGGTGCTTGCCACAAGTCTAACAATCCAACTTCATTCCTGAAACTCACATAGTTAAAGTGAAGAACTGACTACTGCAGGGTGTAGACATTTCTTGGCTTACACTATGCCAAAAGAGGATTATTTTCAGATAGGACACAAATCAGTCTTGGACTCACGCAACAGAGGACAGGCAAGCAAAGGATGTCCCAGAGAATAATCTTTTATCCTACTCTGGCTTTATCACCTCGCCAGATCATCCACCTATCATCTCATACATTTGGCCTTGCCCACTTGGGAGATACTCTCTAAAGTTGTAGAAACTCATTCCCTGGGAAGATGGAAACATTTTCTCCCTCCATATAAAAGCACCAGTGACAAACCAAGGCATGATTGCACCAACCCAACTTGAGAAACCAATGACTTCGTTGGGCTTCCTAACAGAGCATGAGTGGGGGTTAATGAAGAAGCATGAGTGACCCCAAAACTACCCCACCACAAAAATTCTCACTCCAGCACAGATGATGACTTCCCCATAGCTACACAGATGAAGTACTAACCCCTTCAGTAAACTTTCCACACTAGACACAGCCTAGCACCTCCCAAGTTTCCTTACAGGGAGGGCAGATTTACATATAATCTGCCAGCAGGTGCCAGAGTCTCCCCCAATTTCTATGGAAGAAACATCAACAGTCAGCAAGCTCCACCCAACTTACAGGCCTCTAATTTTAAGTAACACAGCTGCTCAGATCAAGACATGGGTGTTATACTTGGAGGGTAGCACTCTACAATGCCCCACTCACCCACACTCAGACTCCCAGCCCTGCACCCTGGCCTCTCTGTAGGACACTGATCTTGCTCACCTCCACCAAAACACTCTTCACTGAATATTTGAGAAGGTGAGGAGGAAGCATGGTTCTTGCAATCTGAATGTACTTGCTAAATAGTTCAATAACTTTTGACGTCTGTTTTCTCACCACAACTTAGAGTCTCAGCACTCTGTTGGGATTCATACTGCAACAGTTATCATAGGCCTTTGACAGAAGGCCTGAAATTGTCTTTTTTATTTGTTGCCTTGAATCTACACAAAGAAACCTATTTCCTTTCAACATTTTCTCAGGTCCTTAAAATATCTCCAATTCACTAGATATGATGGTGCCCACCTTTAATTCCAGCACTAGGGAGGCAGAGGCAAGAGAATCTCTGTGAGTTTGAAGCCAGCCTGATTTACAAATTGTTTTCCAAAACAGTCAGGGCTGTTACACAGAGAAAACCTGTCTCAAAAAAAAAAAAAAAAAAGGCCCCCAGCCCATATTTTGCTGCTTTCACTACTAGTTTAAAGGACACTGTGCAAGGAAGCCAACCAATGGAAGTGTCTTTAAGATATTTAGAGATTTTAGGTATAAATAGGTCTTTAATCCCAGCAATCATGAATGTAAGGTAGGCAGATAATAATATGAGGCTGTCTCATTTGGACAATTCAAAACCCAAAAGATGAACTTGGAAATTAATAAAATACATGGAAATATTGATATAATACTGTCATAAATGGCTAACTACTTACCATTTGTGTGGTTTGTTTGTTTTGTTTGTTTGTTTTGTTTTGTTTTCTTTTGGGGAAGGACAAATTCTGAGCCTTAATTTTATTCTTAAAGTAATGACTCACCTAACTTGTAAAAAGATCAAACAAGACAATGTATATGTCGTTTTTAATCCATGAAATAATTGCATAATTATGGTTAATTGATATCATTTCTTTTCACAAGCCTTACTGTGTGGCTCCAGCACTCCACTCACACAATGGTACTTACAGAATATCCATGGGGAATGGCCAACGGTGCAACTTAAATAACTCAGAAGCAATTAGAAAAAGGGTGTTAAACTTAATAACTGTCCAGGACCCAGTAACCTTTAATCCATTTATCCACCCCGTCATTCAACAAATGCTTATTTTCAGGCTAGTGGCACATGCCTGCAATCCTTGGACTTAAGAGGCAGAGGCAACAAATTCAAGATGAGCCTTGGACACATGGTGAGTTCAAAGCCAACGGGAGATACTTTGTGAGACCCTGTCTCATAAAGCCAAGGCCCAAAGATGCAGCTTAGTAGTAGAGCATTTACCTAGCATGCAAAAGGCCCTAAGTTCAATACAACCCATCAGTCAACAAACAGATACACAAATAAATATTGACAACATATTGTTTTCAAGTGACTCCTCCAACCACTAGGGAAGATATAGTAAAGTAGAACACACACACACACTCACAAGCTTCTATGCCATTCTTATGAAAGGAAAGGACAGGAAGCAACCAATTATTAGTTCTGGGTGGTGGTCAACATTATGTTGCACAGGCAGGACAGGGAGTAAAGAAAGTAGTCGGGGAAGGTCTCTCCGGGAAGTGAAGAAAAAAGTCATATGGATAACTGAACGAACATTCCACTGACTGGGACAAGGTTGGTGTGTGTGAGGTTTTGTGTGGGAAGAGACAATCCTGGAAATACATGTGTGACCTTGAATACTGCTGGTTAATCTTTGTTGATTTGACACAAACTACAGTTGTCTGGGAAGAGGGAAATCTCAATTAAGGAACAGCCTCCATCGGACTGTCCCATTGGCATTTTTGTGGTGCATTTTCTTGATTAATGATTGATAGCAAGGACCCAACCCACTGCAGGAAGTGCCACCCCTGGGCAGGTTCTGGATTGTACAAAAAAAGCAAGGCAGTAAGAGTGTTGCTCCAAGGTCTCTGCTGCAGGTTCCTGCTTGAGTTGCTGCAGTGACTTCCCTGGAAGTCTAAGCCAAATAAATCCTTCCTTACCAAGTCGTCTTAAATCATGTGTACTATAGCAACTGAAATCAAACATATGGATATTATAACGGGAGGACACAGCAAAAAAAAAAAAAATAGCATGATGGATTTATGGCTGATAAGATCACACAGTAAAATCACCGAGTGCTTACTCTCTATCTTTTGTTCTTTTTATGTTTGCAAACATACGTTTGCTAAAATGTTTACCCTTGCATGTGCTTATGGAAGGCAGAGGTGGACAACATGTGTCTTTTTCTATGGTGCACCATCTTATTTATTTAGTGACAGTCTCTTGCTGATCCTGGAGCTCACTGGTTGCCGAGACCTGCCTCTCTATACCAACAATCATCACCACTGACCAGCACTGCAGTTAGGGATGCATGCTCTCACACCCAGACCATCACACCCAGCTGTTACGTGTGCCCTTAGAATCCAGACTCAGGTCCCCGCGCTTGTGTAGCAAGCACTTTACCCACTGAACCAGCTCCCTATCCTTTGAAGTCCCTTTTACTCCTTGCTTTACTCTACTGTAGTAGACACTATTCTGAGCTTCAGGGAGAAGAGGGGAGTGCTGTGACTCATCCATGGATTCAGTAACACAGACATCACTGGGGAAGCCAGGATCTTGGAAGTATTAAAAACTAAAAGCCATACAAAAATGAAAGTCAAGAAAAAAAAAAAACTGACATAGGTGATTGTGGAAACAGCAAGTATAGACAACTGTCTCAAGTCTGCTACAATACGAAGCCAAATAAAATAGAAATGGAAGTTAGATGATCATGGGGTATCAAGAAAGGACACGCTGCATTCTCTCTGTATGCCAAAGATGAACATCTGGAAGAAGGGGGAAGTGTTCTATGTAGAGGTACTCAGCAGAAGTAAATGCATGAGAAGTGATAAGAGAGAACACTGATGTAAAAATGTCAGGAGGGATGGAGTGTTCCTTCTTAATTTGAAGGAAAGAAATATGTCCACAATGTGTGGTAGATTTGGTGATGGGAGATATGGAAGTCTTCTGCTGACTTATGCATTCTGTTTTGTAAAATCCTGCTGTCTGGCCATGACATTGCCACTGCTGCTCTCTTGAAACTATGATTTCCCTCAGGACGCCCTTGTAAGATTCAACTCACTAGCATTTCCTCAGAAGTACCATTAGTTTACTCTCTATTTTCTGACCTTAAAATTCATCTAATTAGGATGCAATCTCAAATATAGTTCTTCCTGATTTTTATAACATCACTCTACTTTTTTTCTAACCCATAAAGGGAAAGCTTACTGATAAAGTTTTTGATTGTTCTCACTGACCTTGAGTAGCATGAACATACCGAATTATATATACTTAACTATAGAGCAAAGTCGACCTCTGAAAATAAATTCTCACATCATGTGTCAAAAAGCATTTTTCTTCACCTATTTTAAGGTTAAAGTTATTCCTTGATGCATAAATAATTAATACATTGCTGCAATTTGAAATTACTACCCAAACCTCAACAGAATGAAAGCTAAGAATAAATCAATACACATTTAAAGATATTTTTCTACAATTCTTTTTACATCTTCTTACATGTGAGTAAGTTCAGTTTCACTTTTTAAAAAAATTTACATTTATCTATTTATTTGTACATGTTGGGGGTGCATGTGCAAACCACGGGGTGTGTGTGGAGAACAGAGAACAAGTGGAGGAAGTCAGTTCTCTCCTTTTAACCACGCGAGTCTCAGAGAACAAACAAAGGCCAGCCCCTGGGATAGTGGTTCTATAATCAAGAAGGTTGATCAAGCCATGTGGAGCAAGCCAATAGGCAGCACCCCTCCTTGACCTCTGCATCTGCTCCTGCCTCCAGGTTCTTGCCGTGTTTGAGTTCTGTCCTGACTTCCTTCAGTGATGCCATGGTGTGGAACTGTAACCCAAATAAACCCTGTCCTCTCCAAGTGTGTTTTGGCTATGGTGTTTCATTACAGCAATAGAACCCCTAACTAAGACAATGGCTACCTGGAAGTGTCTAAGAGTCTCAGGTGGTGGCAATTTCCTCCATATCAAGGTTATCTCATTTTTTCCGGTCTCTTGCACCAAGTGCAGTTGCTTTTTCAAAAGCAATAATACATACTAAAGCGGTTATTTGCCCAGTTAGAGCATTTAACGAACTAGGATGTACTTTTGTCTCTATCCAGCCTTCCACCAGACAAAAACTAAACTCCAGACGCTGTCAAATTAGGAACTGATTCGTTTAGTTCATTGTCAACCTCAATATGAAGCCAATATCAGATACATGCTGAATCAATAAAAAGGCCTGTAGCTGGGAGAGTGAAGATGAAAAACTCCTAGAAATCCCGCTTACCCGTGAGATCCAGAGTTCTATCCACAAAGATCACGGAAGCCCTCCCTGTAGCAGTCCTCTTCCTGTTCTTGGCAGGAGCATAATTTGCCAGATCTGTAGCGATGACCCGACTGAGGGAACCCACAGCGAAACACTCCTCTCGCACCCCTAGATGCTCACATAGAGAACTAAGGCCTGACACGAGGCATCTGATGTACAGCAGCAGCTCTGGGGTCAGGGAGGCGGCATCCACCTCGGCCAAGCTGTTCAGTCTCCTCTTGTCGGGTCTGGCACTATTCAGGAGATGTACATCCCGAGGGAGCAGTGGGAAAAGGGTAGCAAAAGCAGGAGTAAATGCAAGGTGGGGAGCAGCAGGGGCGAGCAACAACGGGATATGGAACACCTCAGCCGTGTAGTTCATGTTGCCCATCCACTCACACAGTTTCTCCTCCAGCTGTTCGAACACCGGCTGCTGCCCCTCTAGCTCGGCTGCTGCGGCCGCTGGTACGTGATTAGCAGTGAGGTGGACTGCGTGGCTCACGGCCGTGACCACCACACAGTACTGAAAGTGACTGCGGCAAATGATATCTCGTAGAGTGTCTACTACCCGGCCTTTCAGCAGGCAGCTCAACACGAACACGGCCCGGGGCTGCTCGGCTCCACCGCCAATTGCGTGGGGCTCAAATTCCCTCAAGTTGCACGCAGGACCCTTTATCGCCTCCAGAAGCCTGCTTGATCCGCAGCTCCAGTGCAGGCTCTCTGCGCAGGCGGCGTCCAGGTAGACCACCGACCGCTTCACTTTGGCCAGCACCTGCTCCCAGCCTTGCTGGGCGAAAGACAGCACGCCCGCGGAGCTCATGGCTCGGTCCTCGCCGGGTCCCGGGAAAACTAGCCGGCTGAGTGACAGGGACTTCGGTCAGAACTCAGGGCTTCCGGGTACTGAGTACCTTGAGACTTTGACAGTCAACACAGTCCACGTGGGCCTGTCTCTGACGTTCTCCGTGTGCGCGCGGTGATGACGTTTAAGGCGTTGATTGGCTGGTTCGGCGCGCGCGGGCCGGTGGGAGGATTGCCTAAGCGGGGAGGGAAAATGGACTATGCTTAGAGATTCATCATCCTGAAAACTTGACAGCTACTTTCTAGGAAAGAATTGAAAACGGGTTATGTTCATTCCTCTCTGTCAGCTCCTCCCAGTTAAGAATCCTCAGGAATAATAAAACCTCTCAGAAGTTTAATATCCTCAGCCCAGGCACTTCCCCATGTCAACTTTGAGCAGCTAGAGAAAATAGAAATAGCTACTGCTACATAACAGTTGGTCATAGATAGATTATCTTCTGCATCAATGCAAACATGCCTCGTGAAATACCTATTGGGACCAGCAGGATGGCAAGCCAGATGACCTGAGTTCGATCTTCGGGACTCACAGCAAAACAGAAAGTTGTCCTCCGATCTCCACAGGCTCACCCTTGGAAGAGCACAAGTCCCCGCCCTCAACACACACACAGTGAGATCCTGTCTCCCCAAACACACACAAAAGCAAAAGACTACTTTTCCGTTCACTTCACAGCTACTGAAATCTAGCAAACCGAAAGAGAATCAGATCTCAGTTTGGAACCTGTTTTTATTTAATTGTGGAAGCAAAATTTACTATTTTAACGCCGCGTGTGTGCATGTATGTGTGTGTGTGTGTGTGTTTCACACAAGATCTCACTATATAGCCCTGGCTGTCCTGGAACTCGATCCATGAACCAGGCTGGCTGTAAGCTCACAGAGATCGACCTGCCTGTGTTTCCCAAACGCTGGGTTTAAAGACATGTGTCGCCATACTTGGCCTCTCAACATCAACTTAGTAGTAATTTATTCGTTGTCTAATTATTATAACGAAGTACTTCTTTTCAGTACTTCTCAAGAGTCTATATCATTATTATCGGTATTATTTTGAGGTGGGGTCTTACTATGCCGCCCTGGCAGGTAGCTTATGAGCCTGAGTGAATCACTAACCTCAGCTTCCAGAATACCTGGGAGGGCAAGTGTGCACTACCAGGCTCAAATTAGTATCATCAACATCACTGCTAAGAATAAATCGCAATAAATAATAAACTGGAAAACAAACATACTTAGGATGAATGTGATAGTGCAGAGTGTGAGGTCATAACATGGGGAGTGAGAGATGGCATACAAAATAGTAAGTAACCTATCTTAGGACTTTCCCGTGGCAAATGGAGAGATAAAGAGACCTTAACCAAGGAAGCATATCCATACAAGGAATTTAGTTTGGGAGGAAGGAAGGAAGAGGCCTTTTAAGGATGGTTATTAGTGATTTACAAGCTTCTCTGCTTGGAGGAATCATTTTCAAAGTTTAGCTCAAGTGCTACCTCCACCACACAGGCACTTCTAATGCATCCGCCATCATCCATCAAGTCTTTGATTTAGTCTAAACAATGCTTTGAAAGATTTCTTCCAGACTGGAGGGGAAAACAATCCACTCTGCAAAAGACTATCAGCTCTTTCGTGAAACCATCAAATTTTATTATAGATACACAGAACAATGAAGATAGAGATAACCACAGTGGCTTCTTATAGTATCCCCAAACAGGCAGTAAACCTTCTTTTTGCTTTTTCTATCAAAGGCCAAGAAGATATTGTGTGTCACGCAACAGATGGAAATGAAAGACAAACAACACAGATTTGGCCTAGTGAAGAGTCTCTGTCAAATAAGACATGTCTATCATACCCAGTGGAAGCAGCATATGGTCTAAAATGGAGTTATCACCTCTATTCTGCTCCCCGTGACCTCATCTGCATGCTCAGCTCATCTACATTCTGCCCCTCACTCCACTCCCAGTGCAGTTCTCCTCTGTCTCAAGGCCTTTGCATGCTCCTACTCTCCCTGGCCAGTAGACCCTATCCAGGAACCCACAGGGCTTACTGCCTCTCTCCATCTAAGTACCTCCTTTTATTATTATTATTATTATTATTATTATTATTATTATTATTATTTTACCTCATCTTATTGGTGTTCCTGTACCATTTGCTATGTGGCACAGCTACATTAACATTATATAACAATGTAGTCATTTACACCTCCTCCCTTTTAATCACTTTCCCCTGAGTATTAATACAGCTATTATTATTATCATTAATTATTATTATGGTTTTTTCAAGACAGGGTTTCTCTGTGTAGTCTTGTCTGTCCTGGACTCCCTTTGTAAACCAGGCTGCTCTGGAACTCACAGAGATCTGTCTGCCTCTGCCTCCAGAGTCCTGGGATTTCAGGAGTGTGTAACCTCCCCCAACCCCTGCCACACCCAGCGCTATTATTATTATTAAGCCTTAGCAACATGGTGTATTTCTATGTTCAGTATTTTACTCTTTTATTAGAATAAAGTCTTTATGAAAGAAAGGATTTTTTAATTGCCTAATCTATACAGCCTTGAAGAGTCCCTGATACTTGGGTAGACTTTCCTACATATTTGTTGAATTCAGAAAAGATTTTACAGAGGTGATAGTTCTTAGAAGTTAAAACAAGGCAAAAATTTCCGACTGATGGGGCCCTCCCCCATCAGTCACTAATTAAGAAAATGCCCTGCAGGTTTGTCTACAGCCTGAGCTTATGGAAGCATTTTCTCAACTGACCCTCATTTCCCTCAGGACCAGTTTGTGTTAGAAACCGGCAGACAAGTATGATTCTGTGCCAAGTAAACACGTGAGAGATGATGGTCTTCAAGATTTTCAAATGAACAAATGGTGGAGGGAGAAAAGCATCAAGGACCAAAAAGAACAATGGTGTAGCAAAAGGAACTGGGGATTGGAAGGAAGGTTGGGGGAAGGGAACTTCAAAGAACACCAGAAGCCAGAGCGCAAGCCACAGTGAAGAGCAAAGCTGCAAGCCTTGGGGTAGGAGGAGCCAGTGGCGCTGCGCACGCGCAATGAAGCTCAGGTGCCTGCGGCCGCGGAAGCAAAGCCACTTAGACGCCTTGCCGCTTGGGTGCTGCTGCGCATGCGCCGGCGGACCAGTGGCTGATTCTTCACGGTCGCCGCCTCCGCCGAGGTCGGCCCTGGCTGGATTTGAGTCTCGCGCTCTCTCCGTTCGCTTACCGGCGGGTTCGCTCCCCATCTCGCGCCCCAGGACGGCGAGGCTGGGCAAAGGGTTGAAAGGGGGCTGTTGATCGCCGCCTTTAACTTGTGCGTGGGGCGGCCATGTCGGCCGGCGAGGTGGAGCGCCTGGTGGAGCTGAGCGGCGGGACCGGAGGGGATGAGGAGGAAGAGTGGCTGTATGGCGGTACGGAACTTCCTGTCTGTCTCCCGGGTTCTCTCTGGCCTTCCTCCCGGCGTCGCAGGCCTGGGCGTCCGGGGCCTCTCGTACTAGCTTGGCCGGCCTGAGTTAGGCCGAGCGCGGCCTGCACCTCCCGGCCCTCGCCCAGACCCGCAGCCGCTCACCGCGCGGTGGACGCGGCCCAAGGAGGCCGGGCAGCCCCGCTTCGCCCTCCTCCCCACCGTCCTGGCCTCCTCGCTTCTGCGCTCTCTGTTCATGCCCTTTCTATCGCTCCTGAGCTGCTTCGGTGTGTCTCTTGCTCGGTGGCTGTTGGGTGCCCCTCCTGGTTTCTTTCTTTCAGAAACAGTCATTCTGTAATAACAGCTGAATAAAGTTAATGCTATAAAACTAAAGTCTTGTTTCTTGATGGTCAGTTTGTATGGAATGCACCTGCAAGGGTATCTCCTTGTCTGAAAGTCGTGCTTTTAAAATATTAATTAAGAGAGACAGAGATAGAATACACTATGGGTCCATAAAGAAAACCCTGAATTGTCTTCTGTGTTAAGGTGAAGTTTTTATTTTTTAAGAGACTGCTCTATAGTCCACGTCATAGTACCTCGTGACTTTTCCCGTAGGCTTGTTATTCAGTGATTATGTATTTCTGTGTCCCCAGATTTAACGCATCATATACTTTGTTTTTCTGTAGGGGACATGTTTGATGTCTGGTTTTTAACTTTTAAGTCGTAATCTCTCTTGTTATACTATATTTGAAAGTATTTTGTCCTTGCCTAGAACATAAATTCTCGAACATAAACTGCTTTAGATTATGTTTTAGTGGAAAGATTTAACATCAGTACTATTCTTAAAATGTGAAATGTGTTGGGTTTCCCTTACCAAGATGTGTACATCTTCATTACCTCTTAAATTAAGCCTGTATTAATAGCAATAAAGTCTTGATTTTTTTTTTCCGTAATAGATGTATCTTGTTTTATAAAGTGATCTAACTTTGGCTATGCTTGTAGGCCCATGGGACGTGCATGTGCACACTGATTTGGCAAAGGATCTAGGTTAGTGCTTGTGACATTTCCTTCAGATTTTTATACTAGTTGCTTAAGCTTGGCTTCTTTATTTAAAATACTTTATTTTATTTTATTTGGTAGATGAAAATGAAGTTGAAAGGCCAGAAGAAGAAAATGCCAGGTTGGTGAACTTTCCTGTTGATGTTTTATGCAGATTGTGATATTAGCAGGTTGTCTAGTGTTTCATTGTAACCCTTGGCTTAATTACACTTTGACCAAAGTTTGGAGGACTTTTTCTATTTCAGGACCAATTCTGTCTTGGTTTCTAGTAGCTTATAGGACAGTTTTTTGGAGTTTGATGTGTGCCAACTTTTCACTGTTGAATAACTTTTTATTCTTAAAGTTTAGTAGTGGAGTATATAAAATAGTTGGATTTTTTTTTGTTTTATTTTGTTGTTTTGCTTTCCGAGGAAAGCGTTCTCTGTGTCCTCTTTGTAGCCCTGGCTGTCCTAGAACTGTGTAGATCAGGCTGGCCTCAAACCCAGAGATTCACCTGCCTCTGCCTCCCAAGCTGGGATCAGAGGGATGCACAACTATGCATGCCTGAATGTAGTCATTAAAATACTGCGAAAAAATAATTCACTGTCAGATTTTAAATAACGAGTGAAGATTGTTGCTTTCATCATTTATTGGTGTTTTTATAGTATAATTTACTTTAGGTGTGATTTCGTTTTTTCTCTTTTTGAGACAGGACCTCATACTGTGTACCC